GATACGAATAAAGAAGCTTCGGTTTTATATTTGCTTGAACATAATGAGGTTCGATATTGGGTTTGTAGGGTTTATTTCCTTTCTAGCACATGTATTTTGTTTACAACACTTATTGCATTATTATAAAATTACTATTAGATCCTAGATTGATGTCCACATTTCCATTATATCTTAAAAGATAAATAGATACGACTTGAAAATTGTTTAATGTTGTTTTGGCGGTCTCAAAGAGCTAACTGTGGTTAGATTCAACACAAAAATTAATAGACATTTATTACAGTTTTCTAGAGATAATGTAGAGAATCTGGATGAACACAAATACTTGATCCTAATCTTGACAAATTGTAATATGCTTTAATATTTTATTTGGCAAACATATAACAATGTATCAAAATAACTTGATGAGAAGAAAAGGTTGTGTGAATTTGCAATCAAGAATGAGGTTTTTGTAACTCTTTTTTTTTCGGAAGCGAGGTTTACCCAAATATATATTTTTATGACTATACAGTCCGAATTTTTGATCTTTTATTTACAAATCGGAGACGTTTTCACATATCGGGTACAGTGAACTTGATACATTATATCTGACGAGACTAGCCTTACAATATTTGGTAAATTATCATTTATTTTATTTCAGGAAGAAGTACCACGATAATGCTGACGCGAAAGTTCAAGTTGATTCTTGGAGTAATGATAATTGTATCAGTAGCAACAGCCCTGCTAGGAGGTATTTATCTATCACTGATAGCATTCAAATGGTAAAATATATTTGTATGTGATTCCGATGTAACTCTCCGAATCATCTGCATTGTTGGAAATCGAGCAATGTCGCTTAAAAGACTTTTGAACTCATTAAATAATGCATCATATTTCGAAGACATTGTCGTTCTTGACATTTGGATTGACAGATCCATGGATGGAATGGTGGATACGCAAACGTTAGAGGTGGCGAATTCCTTTCATTTTCTTCACGGTACAAAGTATATTCACATCCAGCCATCACATGCAGGTGTGTACGGACAGTGGATTTACACATGGAAGGTCAGTGATCATTCTCCAGAAATAACTGCTATACTTGAAGATGACGTTGAGGTTTCTCCTTTCTTCTACAAATGGTTAAAAATGGTGCATAACAAGTATGATAGTTACGATAATATCAACGGATATTCGTTGCACGGCAGATGTGAAAATCATGCTCTAATTGCTCCCAGAATAAATATATCGATGTTCTTAAAAACAACATAGTTTTTTCTCTATCCAGCCTTCAACACTTGGGGATTTTCACCACATACAAAGCATTGGCTGCATTTTGTGAACTGGGTGACGATAACAAGCAACGATTCAACATTTAAACCGTCTATTGCAAACATTGAGCCAACAATCGCTTACGAGATTGCACGAAACAGAGGAACAGAGGCTAATAATTGGGATTTTTTGCATTTATACCATGCATACGTACACAAACTCTTTACTGTGTTTCCAAATATTCAAGGTAAGATTTGTTTGACATTTCATTATTTTGTCATTCGTTATATATTGTATGAGGGCTGAAACAATAACTTTTCATTAGGCGCATTCATCAATGTTTATTTATTGAGAATGTGAATATGTATTTTACCCCAACTAAAAATAGTTTAAATGCGAATTTAAAAAATACTTGGTTGTGGTATCTTAATGATTAGCAAACTTGTTTGACTAGATAAGATGCAGCCATAAAATGATTTGTTTCCCATGAGCACTGACATGTTCCTAATCTGCAAGAACCTTTTAAAGTCTCTTTCTTTACGTACTCGTTTCACATCTGTTTAGGTGACAGGATTGTCCGTTCATTGAATGGAGAAAGGACTACATTACCCAGAAAACAAAGAAAAAAGGCCTTCGGGAGAACTTCTTCAAGACTGAATTCCTGAAATTGAATCGTTGCCTGATAGTCCATTATATTTTGACTTTGCTGGAAGAAAAATCAACCTCAAGAATTGTCAGTGGCCGTGAAAGCAATAAATATGCACAGCGTTTCTTTCCTCGGATGAGCCATGCTATGCGTGTTACATTGGGATTTGAAAGTATGATAGTTTAAATAAATGTAAAATGTGGAAGATATCTAAAAGTTTAGGATGCTAGATTTATTGTTCAAATGTGCTAAAACGTATACCTTTATTGATTTTTGTGCATGCATTTAAATATTCTTTAATAAATCTTTCTATTCTATTTAATACTATAGCATTTGGCACTTTATAACTTATTTAATGCAGACTCTATTACTAATATATCCCAAAATCAAATCTAGAAAACATTACATAATATTTCCAAGATTAGGAACTTCTACAAACATATTTTGTACCGTACATTTTGCTTACTCTTAGGGGACACAAAGTAATTATGTGAGCAGTATGGTATGAATAACATCAAATTTCTCATTACATTTTAACAGATTTTAGAAGAATGTGACATTGTTCATGATTATTAAAATGCATGGGATACATTACATTTAGGATAAGAATTTATATTGCCACAATAGGAAAACATTTCTGCCTGATGTTTAAATAGGTTTCAGTGACATTACACAAATAAATGTGAATTTATACATTATCTTGCAATAATTATTACATCAAAATGGGTAACAAAAATGGCAGATTTTTAATTTAACTAAGTTATGCAACAGTAGTAACTAATTCAATGTCTAACATACGTGACTGCCTTTGCCTTGTCTGATCTGTAATTTTGTATACGCCCTACATATTTAGTCTGTAAATATTGAAGCAGACAACCCCAAACCGCTTTATCCCTATTTATTTATTTATTTATTTATTTATTTATTTATTTATTTATTTATTTATTTATTTATTTATTTATTTATTTATTTATTTATTCACGAAGACCACCTAAACTAGCCCTGTTGATTTATTTTATGGATATATATATGTAGACTACCCAAATTTGCATTTTTATTATTATTTCTCCTTAATTGTTATGCTTTCGGCATAATTTGTTTCATGCAAGTAAACACAGTAGTATAAGTGGAGAAAGGGTTTGACTTTCTGTTAGTGATTATTTTTTGTCATGCTTTTAAGACTTTTTCTAAAACTCCATTACCTTCGAGTACTGAGATGGAAATGTTGAGGTCATCTTTTTCGAACTTAAATTGACAGATTGCTCTCGACACTATTTACGCTCCAGAAAATACCACCAAGATTGAAATTGTAGGAGAATCAAATGGTGTCACTGGGGGCTGTTTGTTTAGTACCTATTGTACTGGATTAATTCATCTTAATAAAAATTTAGTTATTGCTGAAAAAATAAAACAAACCTGGTGCTAGAATTATCAAAATGGTTGATGTTTGATTTTCATTATAATTTTTAAGCGGCATTGGCAGCGTTCAGAGCTCGCCAAAGTAAAATGATTCGTTACCGACACTGATTCGTTGGTGAATTAAATTGAATGTAAAAGATATTTACAAAGATATTTTTGATAATCGATTTTGGTTTGATCTTTCCAATTATCCTCACGATAGTGGTTTTCAGAATGATACAAGTAAGTTCAAAGACGATTTTAATTTTGTTCTTGTAAAGGAATTTATAAATGTATGTAGTGCAGCTCGATCAGGATACGCTTATTAAAAAGCAAAGGGTAAAAGAAATGTTAACAAATTAAAATTTAATGATTATGATAAAGTTTCATTCGCAAATGAAAAGATCATCATGTGGGTATAAGGTCGTATTTGCACAAAATTTGTATTGATAAAATTGTTTAATGTGGATTGATTGATTTTTATGATAAACGTTACTGTGATGATGAAATCAACATATTAGCGCTAGGTCATTGTCAAGCCAAAAAAAATGATTTACTTGATATTAAATTGTAGTGTTGTAGATCGTAGTATAAGGAAAGGAGGACATCGGCAGACTTTTGTTAGATGGAAGCAATAAAATCTTATTTTGACGCTTTCAAAGATATAACGGGGCGGTGGTGTCGGTATATTAAACAGCGAAAATCAATATTAGAATAAACAAAGTAAGTCTTTCTTTACCTGCACACAGTAACTTACATAGTTTATAAGGAATGACAAAAATATAACAAATACACAATGATGCTGTCGCACATTCATAAAATACTAGTAAACTGCATATACAAATGAATCATATCTTATTTTTAATCTGAAATCTATATTCGTTTATGCATAATTTGAGTCTGCTTACGAACACCTGGGTTGCCTTATTTATAAATCATACTAAATTAGTTATGCATGAACAACTTAATGTATACTGTTCTAATGATTACGGAATTATACCTTTAATTCAATTATCTAATGCGGGACGCAGTGTAGTTTACCTATCACTTATTACTGTACATGCATGATCATCAATTAATGTCGATTGAAACAAAAATAGAGCTTGTCGTGCTTTAAGTTGTCATTAAGTATGGTATTCTAAAAAGAGTAAGGAGCATAATGGTAATAACGATGTCAAACACATTTGAAAATAATATTTCGCCATAATGGTAATAACGTAAGCATGAGGTCAAACACATTTGAAAATAATATTTCGCCATGCCGCGAAGTTTCATTTCATTGCACTGAAAGAGATTAAAAACATATTAAAGAATATAACATAAATATTAAGATAGGACATTATTTTTTAAAAATGTCAGACCAAAGGTAAATCCATTAATAAATTATAGTATAGTGATAAGAAACTATGACTAGTATCACTGGTACCATATACAATAATAATAACTATAAAAGAATGACAAGGACAACATCAATTAATAATAATAATAATAATAATAATAATAATAATAATAATAATAATAATATTATTATTATTATTATTATTATTATTATTATTATTATTATTATTATTTGAACATATTTATTATTATTATTATCATCATCTTCATTGTTATTATTTTTATTATTGTTATTTTTATTGTTATTATTAGTAGTAGTAGTAGTAGTAGTAGTAGTAGTAGTAGTAGTAGTAGTAGTAGTAGTAGTATTACCGCTCCGATGACCTAATGGTCGGAGCGACCGCCTCGGATGCGGGGGGTCGTGGGTTCGATCCCCGGTCGAGTCATACCAAAGACTTACAAAAATGGTACTAATAGCTTCCTCGCTTGGCGTTCAGCACTAAGAGGTTAGTAGTGTTAGGACTGGTCGGCCTGGTGTCAGGATAATGTGACTGGGTGGGACATCATGCTACATGTCTGCGTCATGATGCCCCAGTGCTAGACACCACTATAAACTGCCACACTGCAGACATCGTAGCGATATGACTAAAAAATAGTTAAAGCTATGTTAGAAAAATCATAATCACATCACACATCACACATCACACATTATTGTTATTTCTTTCTTTGACAGTATATATATATATATATATATATATATATATATATATATATATATATATATATATATATATATATATATATATATATATATATATATATATATGGTCTTTCAGTTCGATCTTTAATCCTGTTGTGAAATAGGACATTACGAAATATTATTCCTGTACTGAGGAGTGTCACGTTCTATTGTAGGTGTGGCCTTAATCATGTACCAATGCTATTTCCGCTTACTGGGTATTAAATTATTACACTATTACCTAGTGCTTCCATCAAAAATGTAAGGACAGTTGTTTTCAGACCTTTTCGAGTCCTCTGACCTGTAGATCCCGAATGCGCTCTCCTATCTTATATTGTTCCTTACGTGAGAGCTGAAAGTCATCTGCTTCTCCTATGTGTATAATGTAAGTAATGTTCCTTCAATTGTTTACAGTACTGTGTCTGATCTACTGTGATGTACTACTGTTCGGTCAGTCTGGGTGTTTAAATCCCACATGATCTTCCTACCGCTTTATTTTCAATAAAATCATACATTATTTGCGCGTTCATCCAATATGTCTTAGACAGCTGCCAACAAACAGATAAGGTCAGCTTTTCGTGCTTGTTTGTATCTTCACACTTCTTACGTCACTCACTGATTTACTGTTCCATAATTGCCACTGTACACGCTGCTCAAGAATGCCATATCTTGCATGTACTTGTTGTTACGGTGATGGCCATGAGTGTCTGCATAATAAAGAGAGTTGTTTCTTTTTTAATTTTTCCAGTTGGCGCTATTATTAGGCTTATACTGTAATTGTTCTGCTTCTCATACAGCCATACAAATTATTTCCCTTCCATTAGATTCTGATGTTCTCTGTATACATTTGCAGTGTTTAGTTTGCTAGGGCTTTTTGTTTGTTTATTTGTTATTTTGTTGGGGTTGGGGGGAAGGTTGCTCTATTCTCTTCGAAATATTTGTCCCAGAATAAAGCTAGATATAAATCAATGCTTCTGTCAGAGGCTCGTATTGTTTATAACTGAACAGTTTTCAGCACTGATTAAGCCTCCTTCCTCTCCCCCTCTGATTTTGATAGATTCTGCATTCTGTTAAGAGCGTCAGTTCATATTAGCATTCTAGTATCATGTAGTTCAACTCATTTTAGTTCATTCAGCTATGCAAGATGTATGCCTATCGACTGCCCAGGTGCTGGTGACTAGCAGAACCTGTATCGGATTAATAAATGGATTCTAACTTAGTGAACGAACTATTACTGAATATACTATTCGTTTCTTCATGCTTCATACAGCTTATTTGAAAACTACTATTTATTATCAGACCTCGTTTAACATCACATTGTTATTTCTAGCAGTAGTAGTAGTAGTAGTAGCAGCAGTAACGATAGTAGTTGTGTTGATCTTTCAGAAGGCTAATGTGATTTTTCATTTTGAAACAGATCCTTTTAAAATCATTCAGATGGTGAAAATAATTGCTTGTTTCCTCGGGAAGGTAATTAATTTGCATTGTGCATGTGGTTCTTAAAATCAAAGCCGCCTCGGATGATGTAAACAATGCTTCAATCTGATATTTTTTTATTTTAATTATTTATTTAAAGCGGAAATAGGGTATTATCATAATCGACATCACATATAGCTCCTGCTGGGGCTTAGGTCGCCAAAAACTCTCCTAAGCCATCACGGTCTTGAGCAAGTCTCTCCAGCTGTCACTTGTGTGGCCTGTCTTCTTAAGGTCCCGCCGCCAGCGTTTCTTGGCCGGCCTCTCTTCCTTTGTCCCTATGAGTTTCAAGTAAGTGCATGCCTGGTGATACTGGATGCAGCGTCGTTGGAGAATTTCTTCCTCTGCAGGCTGTTGTTGCATTTCTGCCACAGTTGTTCGTTACTGATTTTGTCTGGCCAGCGAATTCAGAGGATTATTCTGAGGCAGGTATTGATGACTATCTGGATCCTTTTCATATTAGTTGTGGTGGTTCTCCAGATCTCAGTTCCATAGAGTAGGACAGGTTTTACAATGATGTTGAACATTCAGATCTTGATATTAGTTGTTAGTTCTCTGTATGACCAGACATTTTTCAGCTAGCAGAATGCTATTCGTGCCTTGCTGATAAGGATCTTAATATCGCATCAGTTCCACCCTCTTTGGCAACTGTGCTGCCAAGGTAGGTGAAGCTCTCTACCATTTCCAGCTTGATAGGTGTCGAGTTTTCTGTGTTGACCTTCAGGTTCTTACTCTATCCTTTGTTTACATTAAGACTAGCACTTGCTGATGTTTTTGGAATGATGTTGGTCTTTTCTTGCATCTGTTGTTGGGTGCGAGAGAGAAGAGGTCATCGGCAAAGTCAAGGTCATCAAGTTGTGTCCAGATGGTCCACGGTATGTCATTTTATTTGTGGGTTGTTGATGACTTCATTATCCAGTCTATCCCAAGCAGAAAAACAAACATCCTTTTCTCACTCCTGTCCTTACTTGGAAGTCGCTGGTAGGTTGCCGTCCATGGAACATTCTACACGTCATTCCCTCGTATTAGTTCCTTATGATGTTTGTGATTTTTCCTGGTACTCCATAGTGCCTCTGTCTATCAATGCTATCGATGGCCTTTTCGTAGTCGATGAAATTGACATAGAGCGGCGAGTTCCATTCCAGTAACTGTTCCACGATTATGCGCAATGTTGCAATATGGTCAGTGCGTGATCTATTTTTCGAAAACCAGCCTATTTGTCTCGCAGCATTGGATCGACGGCGTCTTTTATCATGTTCAGTAGGACTCGACTGAACAATTTGCCTGGAATGGATATCAGCATTATACCTCTGTAGATGGAGCAAGAGCTGATGTCACCTTTCGAGCTTGATGCAGTAGCCTTTTTTCCAGTCGGAAGGGATTTCTTCTGCTTCCCAGATATGGCTAACGAGTGTATAGAGCATCTTCACGCTGAACTCTACGTCTGCTTTCAGTGCATCTGCTATAATAATGTCAGGTCTTGCCGATCTGTCATTTCTAAGTTGATTGATGGATGCGTGTATCTCATCTTTGGTCGGTATGCTGAAGTTAATCGAGAGGTCGCTATCAGCCGGATGGATATCAGTGGTTCTTGAGGAGCTGGTCTATTTAGTAGTTCTTCAAAGTGCTTCTTCTTTCACAGGTCTTTCAGTCTTGCTAAACGTTCCAGACAGCTTCTTCATGGTGGCATACAGACCTCACATGTTTTCCTGGTGCGCTGCCTCATTTATTTCTCTCGATAAAAACTCTACATACTTCCGCTTGTCTTTTTTATCTTTTTCTTCTCAAGCCCGTTTACTTGAGAATATTCATCCTGAGATTTGATCTTTCTAGCTCGTGTGCGACTGTTGTTAACTACTGCATTGATCTGTTTCCTTCTCTCAATCTCTTCCAAGGGTTGTTCAGACATCCAGTCTTTCTGGTTGAATTTCCTGGTCTCCATGACCTCTTTACAGGTTGAGGTTCATACCTTTTTCACACCTACCTTGCCACTTTTTCTGTAGTCTATTCTTCTAACAGCAAGTTCGGGGTCTGAAACCTGTTATAGAGTAAGATGGTAAACTCCCTTTGTTTAAGCAGATCTTTCAAAAGTGTGGTGTTGTAGTGCTGTCGGTGGTTTTTCCCTTCTGTCCAGTTTCTCTTCGACTTTAGCTTCAGCCGGACAACCAGGAGATGGTGATCTGATGCAATGTCTTTCCCTCGTTTGACTGTCCTCTTGTAGAGATCTTCGGAATTTCTTTCCAATGCAGACGTGGTCAATTTTGATCTCTGTTGTTCAGTCTGGTGATGCACAAGTTACCTTGCGTACGTTTCTGTCTTGGAAGACACTTCCACCAACGACCAGGTTGGCAAATATATCCCCATTTTCATTCATCTCCCCTACTCCTTCCCGCCCTGTAACTTTCGCATAGCTCCGGTTGTCATTCTCAATCTTAGCATTGAAGTCTCTCTTGACGATGGTGATTTTCGTTTCGAACAGTCCTGTATGATGGTTTGAAGTTTGTTATTGAAACTTTCTGTCTCTTCTTCCTCAGCATTATTGGTTGGAGCATAGGACTGGAAAATATCCATGTTGATCATATATATATATATATATATATATATATATATATATATATATATATATATATATATATATATATATATATATATATATATATATATATATATATATATATATATCGAGAGTGCGGTACAAGCAGACATGGACGATGAAAAGGCAGTCATTAATGTTTGAATGACGGAGAAATATACAAAGTTCAAAATCAGTAACATAAGAAACAAGAAGCAAAATTGGTTAAAAGTTCTTAAAACAGGCAAACTACATATATATATATATATATATATATATATATATATATATATATATATATATATATATATATATATATATATATATATATATATATATATACACTGTAATTATACCTACAAGGTTTTTGAACAAAATTAAAAAACAGGATTATCGTACCTATCACAAAGAAAACCTAATGTTTTGACTTAAATCTAGGCCAGGTCAATATCTCACCGAATAGCTTCGTATTTTAACACCCATCTACTTTTTAAGGTAGGAGGCATGAACATAATTTTCGTAAGCATAGTATTTATAAATTCACACAGAAGCTAGACCTGTAATGTGGTATACATTTACTTTGAGTAAGGCTTGAAAATGGGTTGGCTTGTTTGTCAAAGTTAGACTAGAATTGGAGATCAAATGCGTAAAGACTGCAA